TTTCCTTCACCTGCTCCCCCCACTGACCAAACTGTGCAGCTCTGCAACTGCATCCTGGCCCATTCTCACCCTTCTGCCCCCAACGCTCACCTCCTTGTACCCCCAATATGTTTTTCCCAATAAAAAATTTTTTTAAAAAACCCCAAAAAAACCCCATATTGGGTAAGCTGAAAAGTTAATTCAGATTAACAATAGAATGTAGTCAAGACATCTCCAAAAATGTGCACACAGGCACCTCAGCCTCAAGCCTTGTGCCCTTAGTTCTTAGTCCTAACAATATTTGCTACACCTTCAGTTCTCTAACATAGCTCAAATCGGCCAACATTGGCTCATCCTCATTCACCCCAAATCCCATCTCACATCATTTCCTCAGTTCAGCCATTGCTGCTGCTGCTGGTGCTGCCTTCCAGAAGTATGTCCTACATTTCACTGGGTTGGGGAGAATTCCTTCTGTTGGAGGAAGATTTCCCCCCCCATCTGTGAAGATAGATCTCTTTAATTTATTGGTGAGACTAGTCAATTCCCTTGTAGAGTGTTGAAACTGGACATGTCCTTGTGGAATTGTAGATAACCGATCCCCTTGTAAATAGACAAACACACCTCATTCACATAGTCCTTCTGATCTGCATAGCAACATCAAATAAGAGCTAGAGAGGTCAAATTAGAAGAAAAACTCCATAGCAACAAAAAATATATATGCCTTAATTTATTTGATCTTGAAAACAACATAAGTTGTTAAGAAATAAGTGCATAAAGAAATTGTTGTTTTCTGAAGAAAGTGGCAAGGATCTAATATATACCTTAGAGTATATGCATACATATATTCAGATTTATTATCTCAAAGCAGCTTTTACATCTCTGCCCAGCTCTTTTAGTTCATCATGATCTCATTATTATCAGATGCAACAAGGGCATGAGTCAAATTGAGGAAAAGATCATCAGTGGCTCATATGCAAGTTCAAATTGAAGATGAAGAAAATGAAAACAAACTCATGAAAGCCAAAATATAAACTTTAGTATATCTCACTTGGATTTAAAAAACTGTACCAGGAATAGATTTCATAGAAGACCTAGGCTGTGGTATAAATAGGATGGCAAATACAGCTCTAAATGCACATTTAGGAAAGAATCACGTTGTCGAATGAGATCTTCTAAAGATTAAGTCTCTGTGTACATCAAAAACTTTTTCCCATAGGGTGAAAAGAAAAGCTACATACTGGGGTAAAACATTTGCCAATGACATCGCAGACAAGGGTCCTGTAACACAAGTTTATAGAATAGTTCAGGGCCTCTACAAGAAAAAGACTGAACACACACAAAATGGGGGG